CGGCACGTGATCGGTAAAGTACGGCCACCCACCGAGCATCAGATATCAACCAATGAGATGACCGGATCAACTTAATTCATCTCCGATGGGCGTGCTTACGCGCGTGTGAGTACGCGCATGTGTGCATATGTACCTGCGTGCGTTCGTACGAATGTGCGTATTTGTGCATGCGTGCGTCCGTACATGCGTGTGGTCTTATGTACATGCGTGCTTGCGTACGTACATGCGTGTTTGTTCCTGCGTGAGTGGCTGGGTGCGTTCACTACGCGCGTACGTGTGTTCGTACGTACGTACGCGTGTAACTGCCTGAGTGCGTATGTGCGTGCCTACGTGCGTGAGTGCGTATGTGCGTGCCTACGTGCGTGATTGCGTGCGTGCTGCTGACTTCCAAAGATTGAAAAAGTAACTGGATGTAAAGAACGATTTCAATTTCGTTGAGGTCCGCTCACTCACCATCCGGAGAACTAATGGCCCGGCGGTCATAGCGAATGCAGGGAATCTAGTCTCGGTTGCGACATAGGAGGCAAAGAGGAGGCGGTGGTGCGCAAAGGGATTCGTCCAGGGCTCAAGCCCTCGCACACGATCTATAAGAGGACGCCTCTCGCTTTACTCATTTCATTGCAAATTAGGTGTTAACAGGCCGTAATCGCGGCACGGTGCGCACACACGCGCTCGTCGCTCGCCATTCAACGTGTATGCGGTCGCTTCTAAAACTTTATAGGCAATGTTTAAATTTTCCAGCCGAATGCGCGTAGACGCGGGCCTGCGCGCGCGCGCCTCCCTCTTCGCTGCCCCCCGCGCCCCTGTGTGTAGTGAGCATGACATGGCAGCCGACGTCTGCGGACGACTGCTGCGCAACTATGGACGCCGCCAGAGGGGAAGCACACAGACGACCCGAGCGTTAGCAACCGATAATTGTCGATGGCGCAGACGTACCGCTATCGCTATGGCAACGGTGCGGCGTACCGTTATCACCATGGCAACGACGCGACGTTCGGCTTTCGGCTGCCGGTTCGGCTCCCCGCGCGCGGAAATTACGGTCTCAACTCATTCTGATTAAATCAAGTGCCATGAAATTTGGTAATTGCATAAAAGACGGAGGAGCGCGAGCGCGCGCGCGTCTTCGACGAGTGCCATTTTGCCGAACAGTCATTTAAAGGAGATTTATGGGCTTCTGCGATGTTTATTGGCTTTTACCGTCGTGCTGTGCATCGATATTGCGCGACGGAGATAACGGCCGGATGGCGGGCATCGGAGACGTGATGGATGACCATGCGCAGACGAGATAGGCACGCACGGCTTGGCCAGCGCTACGCTCGCCTAGCCAACGTCATCCATCTTGCTGCCACAGCGACGAAATCGTCTGCAGACACCGCATCAGTAGCTCGACGAACATCAAAGTCTGCGTCCGTCGCGATGATACGTCAAAATGCACTTCTCTCTGCCGCGGCGTAACTAATGATTACTTTCAGCTTCGGAAATTCGTCTAGCCGTAGCGAACAAAGCGAAGCACGTACGTATATGGCGCGCCAAGCACGTTAGAAACTAACGAACACTGACCGACCGAGTAACAGAGGGGAAGTCGATCCGGAAATACCGGAGCCAACTGAAATTTGGAGAAAGATCGGTGATATCATCCCTCATCGCTGCACAAGAAACAGTATTCATCGTATCTATACTATGTGCACATGATACACGTTAAAATCGTGCGTGTAACCATTTCTAAATAGGACCAATTCTAAATTCTAATTAGGATAATTTTCTAAATTCTGAAGGAACCATTTCTAAATAGGACGCATGTTATCAACGTATTATAATACGTAACCTAGAATTGCTTCGGCTGCCATTACGTGATATTCGGAGGTCAATGTAATATAGACCAAGTTACCTTAAAAATTTAATTAGCCTCATCCCAAATCGTTTTTCTCACACATAATCATAATCGAGAAAGATGGGCTAAAATGTATGGCCTAATTAAGATATAAAATTTATGATAATAAATTAATAAATTAAGATATTTAATAAATTAATAAATTAATATTTAATTAATTTAAATAATTAATTAAGATATTAAATTTATGGCTAAAATTAAGATAATCTATGGCCTCGGTAAGTAGGCCTAATCTAAAATCGTCAGTGACACCTATCCTGCATGTTATATCACGAACATTATGGTGAGGTTCGGCAGTAAATCACGTAGCACAGAGGAAGAAATTGTGTTATTACATTCTGGGTGTTTTTACTATCTTTACGTTTTACCGGCTCTAATCCTGTCCTCGACCCCCCAGGTTCAACCCTTTTGACAGACATCGTTGACCACGCGGGCAACATTGATTAGCGGGACACATTGATTTCTAGCCGAAAAAATTATATTTAAGCAGTCAACATGGGGAATATTCAGGCAATATTGTTTTTAGCGGGCAACATGAATTTCATTAGACAACACGGATTTTGGTGGTATTTTCAACAGGCAACATTAATTTTACAGTGATCTACATTGATTTTTCAACAGCCAACATTGATTTTTATGCGGTCAACATCATTTGTTCAGCTATTAACGTTGATTATCAACTGGCAAAATTTACCATTACTAATTAATTAAGTTAATCAATATTGCTCGCTAATACATTTTAGAATATTTCAGAACAAGCTAGAACAATTAGAAACATCTGTATGAATAAAACATTGTTAAGATACACAACTTGTGAGCGCTACACATAGTATAAAAATTACTTTGAACGTGCAGCGTGATATGGTGAAAAAATCACACACACGCCTGCACGCAAGCACGCACGCACGCACGCACACACGCACACACACACACACACACACACACACACACACACACACACACGTATGCACACACCACCACACACACACACACACACATATATATATATATATATATATATATATATATATGAAAACGCATGGAAATGTGCTCAGCGCGCTTTTGTTTACGTTGAGCAGTGATTCTAAGTAGTCTTCAGTCGGTTTTATATATTCGGTTGCGTTTGTCAATCATTTGCTTGAAATGCTTCTATGTGGTAGCTGGACCTATCAGGCGTGTAATATGTCTTCTGTGGTCAAACATTATTACATATTATTGCCATTTACGTTGCCGTTTTGGTAGAGAATGGAGGTCTTCTCTTGTAATCAGAGCCGTATATAGACGGCTCTGCATGAGCGAGGAGCGCCATCTGCTGATGAACAGAAGTAATATTGCACGTGACAAGAGTAATATCTCCAGATGACAAGAACAACACTTTGTCTACAGAGCTTCAGCAATGTAGACTGAAGCTCTACAGCAATGTAGAACAGCAATGTAGAACATTCATATGTTCTTCATAAGTTTAAAACAACCAAGAAAACATCTTTCACTCACATGGAACTTTACAACACAATTACAGAAGACAAACTAGAGAGTGCCTTTCCAAATGTTGAAATTGCATTAAGAATATTTTTAACATTAATGGTCACCAACTGCACAACAACAAGTCTTTCTCACAACTGAAACGTGTAAAAAAATTCAAATAGATTGACTCGTAGTCAGAATGAAGGTGTACATGCATGTACGCTCAAAAGTGCCTCAAATACCATCTCCGGCGATCTACATTTAAAAAATTTCTGGGGGAGAACCCCCATACTCCCTGCCTGTTTATCACACCCTCCTTGAAATCCTACATAAATTTTTGTACTGCTGCAACCTGCATTGTATATCTGGCCAGACAGGTCCACAACTAAAATGGACTGGGTCCGTGTGGAAAGGAGGGGGGCACCAAGATTGGTCAGTGCTTAGGGCACCAGTGAGCCTTAATCCGCCTCTGGATGTGTGCCGCAGGCACGCATGGCTAACGCCGCGATCGCGAAGCCGATGTGGGGGGTCTAGGGGTAGGCCTACTCCCCCAGAACATTTTTGAAATTTAGAGCCTGGAAATGGCATTTCCTGCATTTTCAACAAGCTATGTTGAAATTAAGCAACCAATTCTGATCATTTTAAAAGGTCAATTTTTAAATTTCAAAGAGGAATGTAGCTAAAGCTAATGTTTTGACTAAAGTATCTAAAATATATATTATGAGTATGATAACTAATAAAACATTGCTTACAAAATTTATACTATCAGTACATAATTATGAAAAATATTATAGTTTTTAATATTTCCGTTCCAGTGCATCGTACTTCAGAATACGTTGAAGCCGGGCCGTGAAGGCATGCATGCAACGTGTGTGTGTTGTGTGTGTGTGTGTGTGTGTGTGTGTGTGTGTGCACTCTAAAAACTGGGTAGTTAAATTTGACTATAAAATAGTTAAAATTTGACTAACAATGTAGGCAATATTTCACCTACTAATGTGGTAGTCAATTTTGACTGCCCTAGTAGTTAATTAGTTTTGACTATTGTATGTAGTCAAAAATGCGACTAGTTTACATAGTCATTTATATTTCTATGTAGTCATTATTTACTAGTCAATTAGTTAAATCAAACCAAAAAGATTCAATTCATTAAGAAACTTTTATTGATAAAAAAAATACTGCACAGTTATTAATAGCATATTTATCTATCTAAATGCGAGTTATTTCACAGAATATATATTTTATAGTAAATGCACAATGTCTACACAAAACAAATTACAAATTTTGTCTTTTAAGCTTATTGGTGACATTTAATTTTCTCCACGAGAAAAGGCAACATTATTTCAGTGTGAACGTTATGAAGCACTTGCAAATCATTAAGCAGATAGTAAAAAGTTTCTAATTAATTTCCGCCCAACTGTTCACGATGTTGCAGTATTATGATGAGAATGGCTCTGTGCATGGTACTTCTTAGTTGTCAATAATACAATATGTCATTCAATTTCACAAATATATATAAACACCAATATATATACTGTATACATATATATATATATATATATATATATATATATATATATATACACCAATATATAGACACTAAATATATCAAACAACCATACATAATAAACTTTCAACCACAAATACTACTTGGTTGTAGGACCCCTTTCCGTGCTTTTAAACTATGGCGAAAACTTACAAATACAAGAATATATAGTTTGATAAGTTGTTATCAATTCTTTTATAGACCTGAAATGACTATGTCCGCACCTGTTATTTCCATCTGAGTAATTGTCTTTTCTTAATACAATCGCTTATTCAAGTGATGCATTGCACTGTGATGTGATAGCACTCGCTATAGATTTCACTGACACAGATGGAGATTTCATTGCCAAGCTGTATACAGCATGGCCAAAGAACTCCCACACTTGTGCACACATTTTTGGGTAAGAAATGTCCAACAGCCAAAAACACTTAAAACATGTATCTACCCCTTGTTGTAGGGTGTCCATTTCCAGAACATACTGCGTGCCAATTATTACAAACACTTGACTACGTGAGTCGATACTTCCAAGTACCACAAGCTTTGCCTGTCGGCCAGTCGGGTTGGCTGTTGATAAGTAATGTGGAATATTTGTACCAACCTGAAACGAGAAAGATATAACTAAAAGATCTACTAAGATATATGTAGTTCAGCCATTTTACACATATTTTATATATCAATATTGTATGGTATGCTGCTTAAACATGCATGTAATATGATAACATATTTGTTTAATGTACGTAGATTGTTAATTGTAACCAAACTTTTCACATTTTAAATGAAACGTAAAACGGTGCCAAGAGAAACACTGCAACACATACCGGTTGGATATCAATGAATGCATTGCTGATCTCTGCCTGTGACAACCTTGTAGTTTTTTTGCCCTCTTTGTACAGGACGGGTGGCAAAATGTGTGGCAAGAAGAGCAATGTTATATTTTCCTTCTGATCTGGAAAACACAAGTAAACTATGTTTTACTGTAATGGATCCTTTATGGATTACACTTGAATCCAGTGTTTCTTCCAACTACAGTATGTCTTAACATATTTTCTCTATAGCTGCAATAAACTTGCAAATTTACAACAAATATCCCACAAAAAATCCAACATAATAATTAGCTCACAAAATATTGTTTACAGTATGGTCTGAGTTTTACCTGTATTCATGTCATCCAGATTATATGCACTCAGTAATTTTGGTTTGGAATGCTTGACGTATGTGATTATGTGTGGTGCATGTTTTGGCCACAGTTGAAAGAGCTTCTCCTCACTTTCTCCATACAGCTGCTTAAAGTCTGCACCAATCTGTCACACAAAGGACACTTATTGATTTGATACATTAATACTTAATGAGTTAGAGCTTCGAAAATGTGTTTGTCTAACAGAGGGTTGCATAAGTATTAGGCTTAACAGATATTGAAAATTATACTCTTTATTTTGTGTTGGAAGCTGCTGCCAAACCACATCCCAATTTCTGTTTGCTTACCATTCCCTGTACATCAAACAGACGTGGCCATGCTTCTCCGATGTCACCAATATGCTTATCGTCTTTCTTTTTGATCCACCCATGGCGGTAAAAAACCGTTGCTGACATGTACTCAGCAACGGTTGCAGTCGGCTCTCTGTGGTGCTTACACCATCGCTGTTTCATGGTCATCTCTTCATCTGCATCTACGTCAGCATCAGCATCTAAAATAACAAATTTATGCCACATAAGGAGCAAGTTAGTTGTATGGAAACAAGCATTAAAGTTGATCAACCTCGCAGCTAAATGCATATATACCTACCGAGCTTGCATATGTTGCAAAAATTCACTACAACTCATTTGTATTGCTACATCCACAACTTTTCTTTAGAAAATCTAAACGAATGTTACGAAAGTAGCAACACAGGATGTTTACAGTGTTTACACAGCGGTACACAGCCGAGCGAACGTTGTGCTGCATTACCAGTTCTTTTCTGTGATAACACGTGTTATACTTTATTGTTCGATGTTTACTCGGTACGAAATTGTGAAATTTGTTTAAATCACATGTTATCTACATTACATATGCAATCAGGGAACAAATATAGTGTTTTCGTTCGAGGAACTATTTAGCGTCATTTGGCACTTCGTTGTGGCAAAACTACATCGATGTAGTTATTCAAAAGAGTCATCTTCGGAGTACATTTCTGGCTCAATGAAACATTTCGTGATGTTTGCATACTGCAAATATGCTCACAGTATGTCTATATAGGCATTTTGTTGTGAGGTTAATCCGTTTTAACCACACAGTCTAACGTGTACTGAGTGTGATAAGAATTAAGAGCAAAGCACGTTGAAATTACAGGATGCTTACTGTACAAAATGCATGTACCTCTAAAATAAGCTCCACCTTCATCATCTCTGTCATCAATGCAGATTTTTGGCATTTTAGCTGCTCTAGGTGATCTGAGAAGGGCGTCCCGTTTTCTAACATTATTCAACCTGGTCTGAATAAGCCCCCCACATGGCTGCTTACCAGATGACCTGAAAAACCATTCTTCCTGAAAAATAAAACATATGATTTTATAAAGTATTATAATTAAGTAACTGTTGCTATTTAATATGTCATTAAAAGTACAGCCTTTTTTCACTGTCATTGTTGTGAACGGTTAAGTAACTACAACTGAAAATTATGTGGCAGATCATGCCAGATGATCGGTGGGCTATACTTATACTAAGGCTGAGAGGGTCTATGTCCCCCGGGGTACTGCCGGAACGTACCCTGGTACTATCTAATATGCCGGACCGTACCTCGTCTACTCCACTAACGAGTCTAGGGAGTCGCCTACGCCTACTCCCTAACCCTAACCTTAACCCTAATCCTAACCCTAACCATATCAAAATAGTGACCAGGGTACGTTCCGATACCGGACCGTACCCAGGGTACGTTCCGGCAGTACCCTGGGGGACATAGACCCTATGAGCAATACCAAGTACTAATGTACTATTACGTACTACTCGTACAGTATTACTAGTTGAAGTTCTAGATCTAGTCAGGCCCTCACTCAGGATGCAGTTTTAACTTAAAATTGAGGTATATCTATATTCAATTGTTCACTGTAGGCCTACGTACAGATAAATATTAACACTAAATAACAACACACATGACATACCTATAAATACATCTGTGTACGCCTCAAGGCCCAATTCTTTTAACGTTCTTCTCACGAACTCATCCATCGCTGAACAAACGTAGGATGCAAGTCATGCAACACGCAGGAACCATAGATATAGAAGAAGATTCTTCTTAGAAATCTTCTTCTATATCTATGGCGGAAACAAACGCTGTAAGATTCAAACCAATTCAAACGTACTCTTGTTTGTTACCAACACTGTTGCTGGGCAACTTACCGGCTAATGCGAGGGAAATACTGACTATTTGGCTAGTCAAATATTTTTGATTACAACAAATAGTCAAACTGCTGTTTTAGACCATATTTAACTATTATGCTAGTCAAATTTAATCATTGTACTAGACGGACATGCGGCCCCGTTATTGCGCGCAGCGCAAGCGCGCGGCCTGCCGCGCCCCCACAACGAATACGCCGCCCTTATTGTCCACTTAGACAGATAACCTGAATCGCTCTAGAAACGAACTCCGCGAAAACTGGGCCGAATCCAACCGACATTTCGCGATCCACGCCTAGAGGGCATCTCCAAACGGCTCCTAAACATTTTTTGGGGTGGCGCGCCTTAAGGGTACCGCGTAGTGGCTCCTACAAGAATGCTGTCAATCACCCACCACAAGCTCGCTCATTGGCCGCTAGGCGATCACGTCGTCCGTGGCCGAACAAAGCGTGATGTCAATCACACATGTTTTTACGAACGCCGCTCGCGCGCGCGCCCGCCTCGCTGCTATCTGCAAAACCGCCGCCGCCGCGGCGCCTGGCTGCGTACGTGCCAGGTTGCCGAAGGGTAGACTGGTACCCGGCCTCACGCTCTGCTAGACAATGTACACGCTCTGCGACATACAGTGCAGCCGCGAACCAGTCTAGCCAGAGGTTACCTTTCGGTGCACGTACCCTGGGTTGCACGCTGGCTTAATGGGCTAGACACTGACAGGTATTGTTTTAAGCACGAACACCCGTCATAAACATTCGATGTTTTGCCTTGCACTGACATTGTGAACATTGTGCATTTTGTAATTACAAATGTGAATTCTAAGGCAGAAAGGTTAACCATGAGCCAGCGCGGCGCCTGGCTGACGGCCTCACTCAGCGGCTTGCGCAGTTTTTGCGCCGCCGCGCAAACAACATAACATTAAGGTTAACGGTGTATAAGCACATGCCATTCTGTCTCTAGACTATCGTCACTTGTGTTTCCTGTTTCGTCCGGTCGTCGCCGCGGCCGCGGGCTTTTCAGCGGCGGTCGCTCGTCGTTCGGTGAGTACCAACAGCTATAGGTTATATAGTATAGTATTAGTAACATAATATGAGAAGTACATCACACGGTTTCCTTATAGGGATCCCCTAATAGCATTCCCTATTATCTACTAATTCTGATCATAAGGTATAGATGTGTTTGTATGACACTAACATAATACGGTCACTGTCAGTTTGCATCACAGTAACATCATATGGTTACTATGCTGCTATCCAGATTTCAGTAAATATAAACACCAACTTTTATATATAATCCTAGCAATATATGGTCAATGGTTACTATTTAACATAACTCTCAATCGTCATGCAGTTACCATTTCATGTTACTCGTAACAATTTATGCTTGTTCCTTACCATATTCTACAACATCCCGCACTCTTATAGTATTATTTAAATAACATAAAATAACAAGTGGTAACACTGCGTGTGTCGAAAACTGCGCCATGTTACGCTGCCCGCGTTTGTCCGTTGTCGCCCACCCCCTCCTCCCCCGCGCCGTCTGTCAGGTGGGTGCGGGTTTTTACACGTAGCGCCACAGCGAGCTCCCCCCTCCCCGATGGCCGCCGCCGGGGCTGCACGCCCCCGTCGCCCCCACCGCTACGGCCACCACCGATGCCGCCGTACGGCCGTTGCCCAGCCCGTCTACGTCTCACGACAACTGCATGCAATCAGTCGCACACCGTCCTTGCACTACAATACGTATGCATAATCATGCTCCGCGCTGGCTGCGGCGACGACAATACGTCGAGAATACGTACCGCTCGTGGGAGTGGGAGAGAGAGACACAGCGATCGAGAGATAGCAGTTTTTGCTCAGCTGACTGGCTGGCTCGCCGCTCCCGCAGTTTTGCCCCCATATTTATACCGGATGATGTCACGGAATGGCTTGCCACAGCGAGCACAGACCGAGACACACGAACAGACATACAAAGAAAGAGATACCTTCCTTCCTGTCTTCCTGTTCATCTGTCTCCGTCTGTGTCTGTTCGTCAGTCAAATCATGCGACTCGCATATTATATCACTTGTGGTGTGTACTTTCAGGTCATGGCGGTTCAAGGATAGAGATGATGTCCAGTACGGTCATTGCATAGGATGATGTTAGTTGATAAGATAGGACTGGACATCTTCTCTATCCCTGAGCCCACAGCGAGATCATTGCACATCTGTACCCATCGTCCATGGGTAAGTACAAGTGCGCTTCACTTTCCCAGGCTACACGTTTCATCGCACGTGCGTTACGTACCCCTCCCGCCCTTGCTTTCCCGTGCCTCATTGTCCCGTCACAATTCAACCAATTTGTTTCCGCGGCCCCGCATCCTGCTCGCTGTCTCACTCAACCTCGAACCCTGCTCTCTGAACGTGTACCCCGTGTGTGTGGGCGCCCTCCGCTGTTTGCTTCTGTGTTTGTCTCTCTCTGTGTGTGTGTGTGTCTGTCTGTCTGTGTGTCTGTCTGTCTCTGTGTCTGTCGCCCCGTTCTCTCAACGTGTCCCTCTAGTGTGTCTCCGCAACCCTGGCCATCCACTCTCCGATCCCTCTCCTGTTTCCCCTCTCTCTGTGTATGTGTCTCCCTCTCTCTCCGTCTCTGTGTGTCTCTCTCTATCTCTGTCTCTGTCTGTGTGTGTCTCTGTCTCTCTTCCTGTTTATCTGTCTCCATCTGTGTCTGTTTCTCAGCAAATCATACGACTCGCATATTACATGACTTGTGCTATCTACTTTCAGGTGCTGCTTGCGGCAGTTGTGACAGCGAGCAGAGGCCGAGACACACCAAGAGAGATACAGAGAAAGACAGACAGACGCACAGCGAGATCATTGCACATCTGTAACCATCGTCCATTGGTAAGTACAACTGCGCTTCACTTTGCCAGGCTACACGTTGTGATCGCACCTGCGTTACGTACCACTCCCGCCCTTGCCTTTCCGTGTCTCATTGTGCCGTCACAATTGCACCCATTTCTTTCCTGCTGTGCTGCCCGTGCTGGGTCTGTTGCTCCCGCCTCGTCGACCCCCGACTTCATTTCATACATAACTTATCAGAACGCACGCATTCCAATAGGCTTAGATACAAATATCTCGAAAAATGGCCTAAATATCTTTCCGGAATATCTCCAAAATATCTCTAAATATCTCAATTTTGTTTCTAAATATCCCCAAATGTTTTCTAAATATCTCAGTTATTTCAACGTAATGTCTTTTAAACATATTTTTTTGTGCGAAAAAATCGCAATACAGAATTATATTTAATAAAATTTATAAAAACAATTAAAATAATATAAATTAAACAATTTTATATAGAAAAAGACAAACTCATCCTTACAAATCCTTAATATTTGAGAACATTGTGTTTTATCTTCTAAATATTAACGCATTTTCTACATATCCAGATTTTTCTAAATATCCGAAAACTTCTAAAATATCTAAAAAGATATCCGGATATTTGTATCTAAGCCTACATTCCAACCACTGTAGAAAAACATCCATCGCCATAACACTTTTCTTCGCCTCGCAAACCCAGCAGGAAACCGTATGCCGTACCACTCGCGTGTACGCACGCATGCCAAGTCGTCTATAAAAATGTCGATCCTCAACGTATCGGCATATGAGTTTTTGCGCCGCAACCCATGCGATTATACTTGCGCCTATAAAAGCGTGATATTTAGACAATCTTCTTACCGAAACATCTCTCTGATGGCCCAGCTGTTTGTCACCCTACCATGCACAAGAATTGATGTCGAGAGGGGTTTTAGCAGACATTTGCAGGCATAATAATAGTTTCTTTGCATTAAATAAGTTTGCTTTTTCTACTTCATGCATATAAAAGTTTGTGAAAACATAACGAAAAGACAAGTCATTTATCCCCTTTTTCTGTTCATAAACTGTTAGGCTACAGATGTCGCTAACAGGAATCCAAATTGATTATGGCTAATTGTTTGGCTACAGAAACAACAATCGTAGCTAGGGGCCTGCTAATAGTATTTCACTTTCTTACATATTCCTATATAGTCCATGCCCTTAACTTAAAAGTGAAAACTGTCGGGTTGTACGACAGTAACTTCATATGCTAACTGACAGTTTCTATGACAGTACAGTTACCAGATTATCTTACTGCCATACCAATTAAGTCACAGTTACCATGTTATGTTATACTATTGCCATACAAAGGCAGTTACCATATTAAGTCGTATGTCGTAACTCTGACTTTGTAAAACAGTAACATAATATCAGACGGTTTCCCTATAGGGATCCCCTAATAGGCATTCCATATTATCTACTTCTGATCATAAGGTAGATGTGTTTGTATGACACTAACATAATACGGTCACTGTCAGTTTCCATCACAGTAACATCATATATGGTTACTATGCTGCTATCGACATTTCAGTAAATATAAACACCAACTTTTATATATAATCCCAGCAATATCGTCAATGGTTACTATTTAACATCACTGTCAATTTGTACAATACTAACATAATATGGTTACTGTGTTCTTTACTAGATTTCAAAACAAAACAATATATTATGTTGCGTTTAAACATTACTATATCTATTTTCCAATCGCGCATATTTTATTATAAATCCAATACTATTAGGTATTAGACGCGCGGTGGATTATATTAGAATTCTTCTTATATTGTATTGTGATATTATAGTTATATCATGAACACCATATAAAGAAGGCCTTCTTTATATGGTCTTCATATGATAGTTATATCTAGACGAGTTTACACGAGTTCTTCAGTTCGTTTTAACCAGGGGCGCAAATGCAGTAGGGACAGAATTTACGCATTTACAGAGCGGGCACATCAGGATGGGAATTTCACGACTAATAATGCATTTTACGGTTACATAGAATGTGCGCATATGAATTATTTCTACCGATAGACTGGCGGCGAGAAATGTCATATTTCACGTAACCTATGATTCCCTGCTGCGCGTGTATGCACACTCAGTTTGGCGTGATAATGCATTTATGGCTATACAAGGTATTTCTCTGTATTTATCTTCTCGTGCTATGCGATTCTTTTCATTTTTCTCTAACTTAGTAATTCTCCTCTCTCTCTCGCGTCTCTTTTCTGTCATCC